CAAGCATGTTTCATAAAATAATATAGACATATGCCTATTTTTATAATAATCTTTTCTAGTTCTCTAATTATCTTGTTGATAAGTTAAGATTTATTAAGGAAGGCGCCGTTGTGTTAACCCAAGTACTTTCGATCTCCTCTGAGATCATCCCTAGGGGTGAAATGCGAAGACAGACTTAATGCAATTGTAATCGTTGTGATAGTTATTTTGCAAACACGCGTGAAACGCTCTGCTGTAATTATTTTAAAATTAACCATTAATAAAGCATATTGTTTTGGCATAAAATGATTATTGATAACCTCAGCAGAGACAGCTGGGATACATATGACCAGAATAAGGTTTAAGGCCTACAAGGTAATTGATGCTATTAACTTCTTTAATTTAGTGTCCTTTTAACTGTATAATATTTTAAGTTCTTCCCAATGTTATGGATTTTTTTTTTCAGAAATTTTCCCCAATTCAAGCATAGAAATAACTGCCTACAAAAAAAATCTGTGATATTTGCATCTTCTCAATTATAAAATCCTTCCTTATGAGTAAGTCCCTGAATCTAATTGGTAACGGCCAGTTCTCCGAGTACCAAGGAATCAACGCAGGCATTCTTAAAATTTGCTTCTCGGACCAACCCTTTTTCAGACTTCTGTTGTTCTACCTAAGAGTATACTCTGATCATTTGTGAATATCTACGCTGATACTACTACAGAAAACGAGAGTACTTCTCAAACTCCTAGATGACCAGAGTTTGGCAGCTGATCTCTCTTCTGACCTAGCTTTAACAGCTCGGAGGTGGGGATTGACTGGTCACATTCAATTTCTTGAAAACAAAATTAGTGATAATCCACAATCAACTATCGGGCCCAGAAGTTTTACCAATCGCAATAAACGGATTCTCTCTCAGGGAGGCCTCGTGCTTTGAGCACCTAACAGGACTTAAATTCAGCCCAGGCCTCAAGTAGAACTCGTACATACGATCCATCGTTAAAGATACTGGAAAAATGGTTGGCTCCCTGTACCGCTCCAGCAAGTACCTAACTCCCGCTGGTGTCCTGTTATTTTACAAGAGCCTGATTAGGTCGAAAATGGAATACTACTGCTATATATAGGCAGGAGCTGTCGAGTCTTCACTTATTTTTTTTTTCTCGATAGAGTTAAAAAGCAGCTCCGTGTCCTTGTGGGTAACAAAGTACTTTCTACCCTACAACCCTTTTCTGACAAGCGAGACATCGCTACCCTCTCGCTGCTCTAGCGCTATTTCAATGGAAAGTGTTCAGATAAATCACACCCCTTAATTCCACCAATCCTAACCTTCATGCTCCCCCCCACATTGTAGTGAACCACCGCCACCCCCTTCGTTTTCCATTGGTGAGATGTAAGTTCCACTCGAGCAGCTTCTTCCAACGAAGTACCGTCCTGTGGAACCGGCAAGCAAAAGGATGCATCCCCGATAACTACAATCTTAACCTGTTCAAGTCTAGTGTTAACAGTTATCTTCCACACATATCCGCATAAGCTGAGCCTCTTAAACTGTAACACTCTAGCTCGAGTAGCCCTCGGACATTATACAGGATGAACATCATTGTAAAAATCTTTTCTCTGCTTTTGTCATCAACTAAAGTTAAATAGTATTCAAAGTCGAGAAGAAAGCATTATCTGAATATAGTCATATATAACACTAATAAATATTAGTCCATGGAATGATCAGTAGGTTTCACTAAGATGAGTTTTGAACGAGAAGGAAGACAGAAGTGAATCTGTAGACTAAGGAGTGTGCAAATATAAGATACTACGAATAGGAGCAGATAGGTTCGCCTATCACCCGGTTCACACTCCTTCCCTATATATTGAACAGGAGTAGAGGTTTGTCCCTTGCTACTTGTTTGGGACTGGGTTTCCGGCTCCTTCTAATGTTTTCTCATTTTCTTTCACTCCTAACAACAACTTGCGTCTTAGTGGTATTTTTGCCTTTCTCGGGATAAATTTAAATAATAATTAAATTCACTTCATACAAAGCAGTAAATCCATTATGACACAAGAAGTTACTGAGTGTGAAAGAATTAGAAAACGAAAGCATTATTAAGGAGCGAAAACAATAGAAGAGTATTCAAGAAGACATAGATAACGATTGACATTGCATTTAAATTTTGAAAAATAAAGTTGACTGGGAAGCATGTAGCCGGAAGAGAATTCTACAAGTGAGAAGTGCGAGAAAAGAAACTGTTAGCATAGAACTTACGGTTACATCTAGCCAATTCTACTGTAAATTGATGAGATCTTGTTAATCTAGTATTGCGCTTAAAATCATACCATAGCAAAGAGTTCGTCCAAAAGATTGCTATGGACGTATTTATAGAAAAGGTACAGGTAAGCAACTTTACGGCTGTGGGAAAGCGACTGAAGTTGAGATGCTAGGCCAAGATCAATAATATTGCTGATTCTTCTTTGGATTTTTATCAAGAATCTCTAAATGTAGAGATTTTCCAAGCGTAGCTTAGATGTTGCACAAGGTCGAAAGCATGGGGCATCCAGTGAGGATCGAACTCACTTTTCAGTAGTTACTGATCTAGCAAGACAAGCTTGCTAACCATTACACCATGCCGAGGTGCCCCTCTAAATATATAGCAGAAGCACCGGGAAATATGTGGCTGCAATATTCAAAACAAATGGTTGACTTATAGGTATGTAAGAGAGATTCTGGAAAGAACAATTGTCTGAAATGACACAATGAACCAAACTTCTTATCATCAGAAATGATTAAAACAAAAAGAAAAGACTGTTGAATCAAAATTTTGTAAGATGGCGTTCGACTGAGAGACGTCTCTACATTATTCCATCTGTCATTTTGATTTTAAAATTCGTCTTCCTTCAAGATGATTATTCAAAAAAAAAAAAAAATAACCTCAGTTTCTATATTTTTCCCTCTCTCCCGTTTTTCTGGATATTTTTTTATTCTTAGAGAATATGAAAAGAATTACAAATCATTCATGGTTCGTTGTTGGGAAAGTAGCAAAAATACAGAAAGTTTGAATAAAATAGACAAAAGGAGGTGTTAGTATGTAGCTCACATTAACCAAGCAGAGTTGTCACTGTTTTTTTGTGGGGAGGGGAATTTTCCACATGAAACGGAAACAAAACTCATTGAGAGAGAGTTAAAGAAAAAAACAATAGTTTAGAGGGAATTTAAAAAAAAATGTTTATTTGTGCAAGATAAAGAAAAAAAGTTTAACAAATTAAAAACAGGAATGGGAATCTGGCGACGACTAAAATAAAGCCCCGGTTCGAATGCTATAAGAGGTCAGACCAAAAAATGTCGGGAGAGATGCTATAAAAAAATTACAATACATATCAATTCAGCATTTAATCACCTTCGAAGTAGTCCTCTTCTGGAACCAGCGTCATTTCCACTGTATTTTTGGAACTGCTTTGTTTTTGGATATCGAATGCCTTTCGCATTCTCCTAGATTTCCTCGATGTCTTGAAATCTTGTTCCTTTCAAAGAGGATTTGATTTTTGGAAAGAGGAAAGGTTAAGTTCTGAGGGAATATGGTGGTTGTTGGACGTGGCGAACGTCGTGTTTGACCAAAAACTGCTAAGCCATGGTCACTGATGTAATCTCTGCAGCGTGGCTGTCTCACCACACTGTGCACACTTTTCTTCCACCCACTGCTATTAAGTGAACAAGAACGTTATAACTTATTGTGTGCGCACAACAGAAAATAATGTTAATCTGTGCCAAGCGGTTACCAAAGCAACAGTCCGGATACTTTTTGATCATACCTCTTATACGATGCTGGATAAAATGGCTTCAGAAAAGGACTACAAATGTGTTTAAATGCCGAATTGATATGTGTTTTCTTTTATATCGCCAATCCATATACTTTTTAATTCAAACTCTTATACGATGCTGGATAAAATGGCTTCGGAAAAGAACTTCAAAGGTGTTTACATGCCGAATTGATATGTGTTTTCTTTTATATCACCAGTCCCTATACTCTTTGATCCGAGCTCTTATACGATGCTGGATAAAATGGCTTCAGAAAAGAACTTCAAAGGTGTTTAAATGCCGACTTGATATGTGTTTTCTTTTATATCGCCAGTCCCTATGCTTTTTGATCCGAGCTCTTATACGATGCTGGATAAAATGGCTTCAGAAAAGGACTACTTCAAAGGTGTTTAAATGGCGAATTGATATGTGTTTTCTTTTATATCGCCAGTCCCTATACTTTTTGATCCGAGCTCTTATACGATGCTGGAAAAATGGCTTCAGAAAGGGACTACTTCAAAGGTGTTTAAATGCCGAATTGATATGTGTTTTATTTTATATTGCCAGTCCCTATACTTTTTGATCCGAGCTCTTATAGAAGAAGTATCTTTACGCTGGTATCTATTCAAACAAGAAACAAAATTAAGAGACTATACACTGTTTTAGGCATACATATATGGTGAAAATATATTCTCCAATATACCTCACTCTCTCTCTCTCTTTCTCTTTCTCTCTCTCTCTCTTTCTCTCTCTCTGATTATCACCATTGAAACAATTTCTTTCGGGATAGGTTAACTTTGACTTATTTATATCGATCGAAAATGTTTGTAAAGGAGAAATAGCAGCCTAAAATAATTTCTGCTGACCTCAGCGTAAAAAAGCAAGGCTACATCTTTTGAGCTTCATTCAATAATAATTCAACATTAAAACCCCCTTAGCAAGTAAGCAATGAATGGGCCATCATGAAATTTATCAGATGTATTTTGAATGTAATCTCTGAAGTAGAAACAATAATCTGATTGTGTGAATGAATATACTTCTATATTTGTATAAAAATCGATAAATGAACTTTACTTTGAAATACTCATGGCAAAATGTTGGATGTTATATCGGCGGCATTTGATAGTCATTTAAAAAAAATAAGTAGTCTCTAACCCAATTATCACACTGTAATGAAGTCGTCTTAACACAACATCTACCTCGATTCTTTTCCTTTTTTCATTTATTCTTTATTTATTTA